GGGAAACCCGGGGTTCAGGCAGCGGGTTTTCACCGAGTACTTACGGCGCGGGACGCAGATGACTGGGTTACGCAGAACTGCCAGTTCCTGGAAACACCGTCCGAAAACAGAGCGGCAAAGGATATCTGGAGTTACTCTAGGAAATCTGCTTAGGAGACGACCGAACGGCGAGCTGTTCTGCTGTAGGAAAAAAGTCCCAAAGATAAAATAATCTGTAACAGCCCGTCCTACAGGAATTTGTACCAAAGTAATGTAAAACCCAGTTTAGACAAATATTTTCTAAGTTGTGTTAGTTTTTTTTTCCTCTCGCTGGATCATTTTTGCATGCGGTCGGTCTGAACAAAATGCCCAAGGAGACTGCAATTCTCCAATTTGTTCAGAATACCCTTTTAATTTAATTTTTCTTCTTTGGCGTGCCTCTAAAAACGTGCTTACAGGCAAAAGAGTGAGGAAAACCAATGTCAATAATACACTAATTCTGCCTGCCCGGCATGCCCAGGGGCAGAATGTGGTGAGTTTACCAGCATCTATCGGCCCCATTTAACTTAATTTCAAGGCTGACTCCGCTGCCTGCGAGTGAGCAGCTCCCGCTCGGATCCCTGTGACAGCCTGGGCACTGGGCGGACACACTGCAGCTCTCACAAGACAGGTCTGCCAAGCTGCAGAAGCCACAATTAGTTGAACGTTGACATTCCACCACAGGCCACAAACCACAGCATTTGCTCTACTGTCATCATCATCTCATAGCACCGTCCACTTTTTTCCCCCTCTCAGATTTACCAAGTCTTGAAAACAAGGGGGCGTGTATCATTCCCATTCCCTCTTTCCGTTGTATTTAACTTTTTTCCTCAAATATTGCAAACAGAACCACCCAGCTAAAGTCAACAACCATCGGGAAATGTCTCAATACGCCAGAAATCACCTCCTTCCTATCATGAATTCCCCTGCAAAACGCTGGTAGGTGTTCAAGCCGGGCAGCTTTCACTCCGAGTAGGACACACAGGCGAAATGTGCTTTTTGAAAGATGGGGTTTCATTCGGGGATCCATCAGAGAGACCAACTCCGAGCAGATCTCTGTCCCCTCTACCCCTCGGGCTGTCAGCCGGGGCCATCGGTTAATTATGTGTGGAGGCACACGGGCGCGTTTTGAGGCTGGCAGGCTGACGGCAGCACGCCTGGCCCCACGTGCGAGGCAGGGAGCCCACCCGCTCCCCGCACGCTGCCGCAGCGCGCCGTAGGGTTGTCAAAGCAGAAACAAGTGGTGGCATCGCACTCGGGCTGGTGGGGGAACTGAGGCAGCAGCACGGCAGATCTGAGGTGGAGCCACGCAGCTCTTTCGAAGCTTCCCTATCCCACGACTGTGCCCATAAACCAGGCTACCCACCTGCCAACGCAGGCTCGTATTTGTAATTATTGCTCATCCCCAAGATGCCATTTTGACAGTCTGCACAGCATCAAGCTGGAACAGACGTCACACAGCATGAAGCCTTTCAGAGTAGGCAGTGTTTGCTTTTAGATTTAGCCACCCAAAAAGGGGCAGGCAGGCAAATGCTTTCAAGCATGATGAGAAGAAACAAGCTTTTACAGGGAACTGGCAGTTAAACACCAGCTTAAAGAACACGCACCAGCCCGGTAAAGCACCAGCTCCAGCACAAAAACAAGCACTGGCCTGTGTCACGAGCTCTCTCAGGAACGACAGGCTGATGGGGGAGCACAAAAACAAGCACTGGCCTGTGTCACGAGCTCTCTCAGGCACGACAGGCTGATGGGGGGGGGGCACCTCCAAACTGCCGCTGTTGAGCAGGGCTCTCCAGGAACTCATTACTTCGTGGCTTATTTAGAGGAAGTGAAGAGATCAGATCGTTTTAGCGGCTTAGAAGAGCTGGAGGGATTTTCGGTACAGAGATGAGGCATAGGTGGGTAAGGGCAAGTAGAAAGCAGAAGGAGTTCGAATTCTGAGAGTCTGTGGGAAAAGCTGGTTCCTGCCGTGCTGTAAAGGGACACTGAAAACACCCGCGGGGTTCGTGCCGCTGAGATGCGGCCACAGCTCCACAGGCTCCCGCTCGCACGCCTTTCCTGCTGGGTATCATTTCCTCCTCAGCCACGTCCAGCCCCTTGTCATCAGGGTAAAAATATTCAAAAGCAGTTCAAGGGGCTGAAGGTGGACCAGCAGGTTGCTGGTGGACCAGCTGCGTGTGCTCCCTGCGGAGCAGACGGCTCATGTTGAAGCCCCCGGACACAGCTCCTTCCAGATGCCAGCGGCAGCTGGTGGCGGAGTGACCCATTGCTGCTTTCCCTGTGCCGTGACCGCTTCTGCCCCGCATACTGAACAAACCGGGCAAAAGGAGAGCCCAGACCTTAGAACCTGGTTCACCCTTTTCGGACTTTGTCCACCACAGAATCTGTGGGGGGAAAAAAAAGCAATGAAACCGGACAGAGAGAGAAATAAAATGGGGAAAAGGGTCAGCAGGCTCTACTGGGGCGAGACCTGACCTCGATACTAAGCCATAGGATTGGATATGAGGACCGTGTATAAGCCATCTCCCTCAGCTCAGCAGATGGTGGAGCATGGCTCCCAACAGCCACATTTCAGCAACCCACAAAACAGCGGCAGAACGGGCCGCCCGCTCCACGCAGCCGGCACGGAAGGGCAGCTACAGGAGCATGCGTGGCTGCAGAAAGGAGCATGTAAGCTCCTTAGCAGTCACACCTGGCTACTTCAGACTGTAGCAGATGTTGGCAGATGCTCTGCTGAACAGCCTAGGAAGGACTGTTAAACCCAGGCAGACCAGTAGCCTCTTACACCCTGGCCATCAGCTATTGTGGCCCTGTGGTTTTGGTCAGCAGGCTGGAAAGACGCTCCCACTAAAAGCTGTTATTATCAGTCTCATCTGCAAGGCTCTCAGACTATTCTAGGGTAGCAGCCAGCTTCATTTCAGGTTTAAGACAGCCAGAGGAATGCTCTGCCTGGTCTAAGGAATCAGTCCCTCCCCTCAGTTGCTCTATGTTATGAGTAGGCTTGCTCAGTCATGCATGGCTACACTGCCCAAAACCTGTCTAAATAAGCTGTGATGACCAAGACTGAAACCAGTCAAATCAGGAACTTTCCAGTCCGATAAGAAAAGAAAGATTTCCGCTCCATGTGTATTTAGCACAGGCTGTACTCCTTGCCTTTCTGTTTGATGCTCTTGGGTGCTTCTTAAAAGCCACCGTGACAGGGACACAACCCACAGGACAGCAGTAGGGTCAGAGTAAAGCTACACCGTGCAGCTGAAACGTTCACACAGCTTGAGGCCGTCAAAAAGGGGAGACTGCATTCCTCACACCCACACACCTCCTTTGCCTCTTTTCCCGTCTCCAGCCACCCTGCTTACCCCACACTAGCTTCACTGTTCATCGGGGTCTCTACCAGCCAGTTCAGCTCATGAACCTAGCAGAAAATAGGAAAAATCAACTCTTTGTGGCCTGTTTCTAGGGTTGGCTTGGCCCATGGATGGACATAACAAGCTCCAGAATCAGGTGCGGGGCGGGAGGACAGCAGGCTGCTCCATCAGCCCCCGCCTTCAGGTTATGCCTTCATGTGGAGGTAGATTAGGGGTGCTGGCCAAGCTCCACAGCAATGGGAAGCAGAAAGGGGGGGGGGGAAACAGAAAGGAATTGCTTCAGATGCCACAGGCAGATCCTTGAGAGATAGCACAGAATCATAGAATCATAGCTTGGAGAAGACCTCTAAGATCATCAAGTCCAACTGTCACCCCAACACCACTGTGCCTGCTAAACCATATCCCGAAGTGCCACATCTACATGTTGTGTGAACCCCTCCAGGGATGGGGACTCCACCACCTCCCTGGGCAGCCTGGTCCAATGCCTGACCACTCTTTCAGTAAATATATTTTTCCTAATATCCAATCTAAACTTCCCCTGACGCAACTTGAGGCCATTGCCTCTCATCCTATCGCTAGTTACTTGGGAGAAGAGACCAACATCCACCTCACTGCAGCCTCCTTTCAGGTAGTTGTAGAGAGCAGTAAGGTCCCCCCTCAGCCTCCTCTTCTCCCGCCTGAGCAGCCCCAGCTCCCTCAGTCGCTCCTCACAGGACTTGTTCTCTAGACCCCTCACCAGCCTCACTGCCCTTCTCCGGACACGCTCCAGCAACTCAATGTCCTTCTTGTAGCGAGGGGCCCAAAACTGAACAAACATCCACCCTCCCTGAAAGCAGAGGGTGCTTCCTCACACCTGCTGCGGCCAAGGCGCTTGTTCCCCAAACTGCATGGGCTATAAATCTTGTGCCTAATTTTGTCCATGTAACTTCCCATTTAGACAAGCCCTCTGAACTTCTGCTGCCTGTCACGACCCCACGAGAACACCTCTGCACATGAAATTAAAGTTTCCAGTGTGTGTGTGTGTGCGAGCCATGAAAGAAAAAAAGCAACAACAAAACAGGAGGCAACCACAGCCTTGCTCGCAGAGGTCAGTGGGTGCAGGTCTGCAACACGCTCCGACAGCAGCCGGGCACCAAGCACGCCGTGGTAGCAGGGTTAGGACCTTCAGCACTGCAGGGCAGGTGGAGAGGAGACCCTCCGAGGAGACAGCTCACAGCCAGCCACTCCTCAGACAGGGACTCCTGCTGCAACGGCAAAGGCTGAACACCTCGAATTTGGCCAAGGTGCCGGGGCAGGAAGAAGCAGCGAAGATGTTAAATCAGGCCCAAGAGGGAAGCGGCTGTCGTGTGTTCTCTTACAAAGCATTTCTGCAGTCAGGAGGTGCAGATTGAGCAAGGGGCTGACATCAGCTAAAATAACAGGATGGCAGAGGGAGTGGCTCAGATGCTAAACCACGCGGACGTTACTAAGGTCACCATGTAAAACATAATTTCTCATAGGGAAGAAAAATAAGCCAGAATTGCAGCATTGTTACTTAATCCAGGAAACTTTGTCCGTAAAGTCCGGCTGCATGAACTGGCTCAGCATGACCACACAAAAAAGCTACCAGCCTTTTACCGGAATTCGCAAGTGACTGCATCGCTACCCATGACGAGGCTTAACTAGCAGTGGAGACTGCCTGGCATGGGCAATTCCTACATCTTTCCCAGCCCCTACAGCCTCACTGTAGCAGAGCTTCCCTGGAGAAGGTGCTGTGTCAAGTCCAGGTCCTTGCCCGGCAAGGATTATGCACCCCAGCCCCTTCGCTGCCAGAAGCAAAGGTCAATTGGAATTGCCATCAGACCTCGTGCTTATTTAACTCCCACTCTCACCACGCTCCTCTCGGATCATCCGCAGACGAGGAAAAGGCTGCCTCACTGCCCTGCTAAAAAACAATTTTGGATCCACGATCCCCCACGAGCCAGAAGTGCCCGTCCATACTCTGCCAGCAGTTATGGCCAGTCTGAACAGTAAAGCGATATTTGCTGATCCTGCTGCTGAGCCGCAGAGCAGCACGACGGCAGCGCCAGTCCCTACAACAGATCTCCACTGTTTCTCTGCCTTCATTATTTGCCCAGAAGCTCACCTCTTAAGAAAAGCCTGTGTTTACTCTCTGCTTTCTTCATCTTTTCACGTACTGTGGAGTCACTAGGATCTACCTCCTGCCCCGTAAATGTGAATGCTTCAAGATGAGCAGGGTGGACCACGGCTGTCAGCCTAGTAAAGGAAAGAAGAACATCAACGGCTTCAAACTAAAAGAGGGCAGATATATATTAGATATTAGGAAGAAATTCTTCACCCTGAGGGTGGTGAAACACTAGCACAGGTTGCCCAGAGAAGCTGTGGCTGCCCCCTCCCTGGCAGTGCTCAAGGCCAGGTTGGATGGAGATCTGAGAACCCTCGGCTGGTGGAAGATGTCCCTGCTCATGGCAGAGGGGTTGGAACCAGATGATCTTTAAGGTCCCTTCCAATCCAAACCATTCTATGATCCACTTCTGGTGTTTTCTGCTGAAAACCCTTCTCCTTTGCATCGCCACCGCAGTCCTGCTTGCAATGCCCTGTGTCATCACAAACTTCCTGAGGTGGGAAGGCTTTAATACCTTCTTGCTCCACTCTAGAGGCCAGAAAAGCAGCTCAATCCAGAAGTGGCCAAGTACAGGAGAAAAGAGGACTTCCCAAACTACTTCGGCCTACACTGGCCCATAGTCACATCACAGTGACACGACCGCACAGAGGGCTACAATAACACAGCTGACAAACCAGGAAAAAAGCTGGAAATTGAGGGTGCTGAAAAGGAAGCAGGAAGGGGACCAGGAATCTATCCGTTTCTACAGCCACATCCAGCGTAAGAAACACCAGAGCATGGGGAGACTGAGGAATGGGAAGAGAAAGGGACACCATCGTTACTCTGGATCAGCTGGGAACTTTCTAACTTTCTCTTCTCGTACCAAGTCCTTCAGAATTGCCTTCTGCCAGAAATGAGCAGTAGGAGACAGCTCTACCCCTTTCCCCGTACCACCCCCAGCCATACTCAGACAGGCCAATTTTTGTTTCAGTCAGCTTCTGCTTTCCTCTTAGGTGGGAGTACCAGGGTTGAGCAACAGCACCTACGAAAGCAACCAAACCCTAAGGGCTAGGAATCGGGAAGCAGAAAGAATCTTCCCGACCAGCACAAGGCTTTTATTCATTTTCCTCCTTGAGAACGAGATAGCATTTCATTTCCAGGCAGCGTGTTTTGTCTGACGTCTGCAGTAACCAAACCGAGGTGCTATTCGTTTGCCAAGAGCAACTTTTAAAAAGCATCTTCATTTATCTTTGAAAACTAGCGTATTGTCCTTGCACTACACCCCAAGTCAGGGGAGATGCGAAAGGTCACAGCGCTCGACTTTGATTTCAGAGCTGCCTTGGGAAGAACGCCGTCCCTTACAACTCTTTCGAGGAAGACGTCAGAAACTCTGTCAATGTTCCCGTCTTGCTTACAGCACCATTACAGTCATCCACTAGCAGACCGAGAAGTTGGTCAGGCTTCCCAGCACCCCTCCTCCTCCCATATCAACTCCTTCCCCCCAGAATCGCAGAGATTTAATGGAATTTGGGGGAGGGAGGAAGGACAGCGGAAAGCTGCCAACTGCCAGTGGCACCTCCCGGTATCATTCCCATTTGCGCAGCCAACACACCTGCCTAATCCCATCATCGTAAAGCAAGAACACTCATCTTCCTATGAGTACTTTCCACTTTGTTGGCCTTCGTGTACATTAGCTCCGCTTCCTTGAGCCACACAACTGTTGTCAGGACTCGCCTGAGCCTTCTTCCCCTCAGCGGCACCAAGCCGAGCGACGCTTCTACCTCATTTGACTGCCTGAGGCTGGCTGGAACCGCATTGGGGCATCTCCCTCCTCCGCCAGCCCGCGCCCTGAGCTCCTCCAGCCCCCC